ACCCCGATACCTTGGACGATGACGAGGCAGCCATTACGAACCGCTTATTTCTACTCACGCGGCGTAGTTCTGTTCACGCGATTACGTTACAACGTACAATTCGCTTTGGTAAAAAAAGATTCGTTCCCTAATAGTTTCATCGCGTTATATATCCAATTCGCGGTATGAAAACGACACGCAGCGTAATAGGGGAACGGACTCAACCTATCTTGGGCCCCACCTTTTCAGAAGTTTCGTTAACTTGTTCAGTAACCTCCTCTGGTTCATTTTCACCGGTCGATAGAATGACTGCCATCAGCAAATCTTCCTCTCCCACCCATCCTGCCCCCTCCCCCCCACCATGCCCCCCCCCACCCTGTCCCCCCCCATCCACCCTTTCCCCCCCCACCCTATCCCCCCCCCCACCTTGTCCCCCCCCACCTTGTCCCCCCCCACCCTGTCACCCCCACCCTGTCACCCCCACCCACCCTGTCAACCCTCCCCCCCATCCACCTTGTCCCTCCCCCCACCCTGTCCCCCCCACCCTGTCTCCCCCACCCTGTTACCCCTCCCCCCACCCACCCTGTCCCCCCCCCCACGATGCCTCCCCACCCTGTCCACCCCCACCCTGTCTCCCCCACCCTGTTACCCCCCCACCCACCCTGCCCCCCCCACCCTGTCCCCCCCCCCCACCCTGTCACCCCCACCCTGTCACCCCCACCCTGTCCCTCCCCCATCCACCCTGTCCCTCCCCCCACCGTCTCCCCATCCACCCACCTTGTCCCCCCCCCACCCACCCTGCCCCCCCACCCTCTTCTCACCCCACCCCCCCACTCTCCCTACCTCCCACCCTTACACCCCCCCTCACTCTCCCTCCCTCCCACCCTCACTCCGCCCCCCCCCCACTCTCTCGTGTATAAAGGCAACGTCCATCCCAGGCCAGGTTCACTCGGGATCAACCTGGTAAGGTCACCTTTGCTTCATTCGCAAGCTGTGGATTTGGTGGATGTGGCTGTAGTTGTTGTAGCTGTGGGTCCACCACGGTGGCTAGAAGATGTTAACAAACCTCGCCTTTAATAAAGGAGGTTGTGGTTCAATTCCAACCCTGACACCTGCTGTGTATTTGGAGTTTGGGTCTCTGTATGAGTCTATGGGTCTCACTGTGAATCTAGGGTCTCTGTGTGGTGAGTCTGTGGGTCTCTGTGTGGTGAGTCTGTGGGTCTCTGTGTAATGAGTCTATGGGTCTCTGTGTGATGAGTCTGTGGATCTCTGTGTGATGAGTCTGTGGGTCTCTGTGTGATGAGTCTATGGGTCTCTGTGTGATGAGTCTATGGGTCTGTGTGATGAGTCTATGGGTCTTTGTGTGATGAGTCTATGGGTTTCTGTGTGATGAGTCTATGGGTCTCTGTGTGATGAGTCTGTGGGTCTCTGTGTGATGAGTCTATTGGTCTCTGTGCAAGTCTACGGGTCTCTGTGTGATGAATCTATGGGTCTGTGTGATGAGTATATGGGTCTCTGTGTGGTGAGTCTGTGGGTCTCTGTGTGATGAGTCTATAGGTCTATGTGTGATGAGTCTATGGGTCTCTGTGTGATGAGTCTATGGGTCTGTGTGATGAGTCTATGGGTCTCTGTGTGATGAGTCTATGGGTCTGTGTGATGAGTCCATGGGTCTCTGTGTGATGAGTCTATGGGTCTCTGTGTGGTGAGTCTATGGGTCTCTGTGTGGTGAGTCTATGGGTCTCTGTGTGGTGAGTCTATGGGTCTCTGTGTGATGAATCCACGGATCTCTGTGCAATGAGTCTATGGGTCTCTGTGTGATGAGTCTATGGGTCTGTGTGATGAGTCTATGGGTCTCTGTGTGATGCGTCTATGGGTCTCTGTGTGACGAGTCTACGGATCTCTGTGTGATGAGTCTATGGGTCTCTGTGTGATGAGTCTATGGGTCTGTGTGATGAGTCTATGGGTCTCTGTGTGATGAGTCTATGGATCTCTGTGCAAGTCTACGGATCTCTGTGTGATGAGTCTATGGGTATCTGTGTGATGAGTCTATGGGTCTGTGTGATGAGTCTATGGGTCTCTGTGTGATGAGTCTATGGATCTCTGTGTGATGAGTCTATGGGTGTCTGTGTGATGAGTCTATGGGTCTATGTGTGATGAGTCTATGGATCTCTTTCCAAGTCTACGGATATCTGTGTGATGAGTCTGTGGGTCTCTGTGTGGTGAGTCTATGGGTCTCTGTGTGATGAGTCTATGGGTGTCTGTGTGACGAGTCTATGGGTCTCTGTGTGAGTGAGTCTGTGGGTCTCTGTGTGAGTGAGTCTATGGGTCTGTGTGATGAGTCTATAGGTCTTTGTGCAAGTCTACGGATCTCTGTGTGATGAGTCTATGGGTCTCTGTGTGATGAGTCTATAGGTATCTGTGTGATGAGTCTATGGGTCTCTGTGTGATGAGTCTATGGACCTATGTGTGATGAGTCTATGGGTCTGTGTGCGAGTCTACGGATCTCTGTGTGATGAGTCTATGGGTCTCTGTGTGAGTGGTAGGGTAACGCGAAATGACACACTAACGCAGTGGCAGCATGTCCATCGTACCGCGTGTGTGTAGGAGTACATCATATCTCGCCAAACTTTATCGTTGCATTGTTTATGAGGAAATAATTTTCACTTAACACGGAATTTTTCAGGAACACATTTACTACTAGCGCGTTAAACGAGAACCCACTGTCTATGCAGCACTTTCACGTCATTCTATATCATACCATTACATAAGTAACATTTAAAAACACTTTTTTTTAAACACGCTTTTATGAAATGTACTAGTAATGGCAGAACTCCACGACTCCAGGAAGTGGCCCCGAAGCTTGCCATAACGTTAGTTGAGCATGGACAATTAGACCCAAGCCGAAACATAACATATAAAAATAATGTTTAAAAATATATACATTTTTTACTTTTTTATGATAGAATATAGTATTGTCATCAGTATTACGTAAGTATACCAAGTTTGCAGTCGATACCACATTGGGAAGTGGGTTAAAATTGAGTTACAAGTTTTGCGTGTAAATAAGTTCTGATGGCTGGACGGCTGGCTGGAGGGACAGACGCACGAGCGGCCATGTTTAAATGGCGTGTGGGCTGCTAGTTATTTTAAATTAAAGTTGTAGTCGTATCCCCGTGATCTATATCAGGTGCACCAGTGCACATCCTGTGATCTTAGTGGAGATCAGCACGGCACGTGTATTACGTATTTATGTTGAACTTTTTTGGCACCCTACGGAGCCAACGGTGATAACACTGGTAAACAAAAAAAACTTATTTTTTCTGGCCTGGACTTTTGCAGCTGTTCTAGACTAATTTCAGGGTGCTGATTCCAAATCTCGGGTTTGCTCTATCACATCTCATTTTTATGCTATCGGCATACCCCATTTGCATTGATTTTACCTGAAATTAACTCTGTCACTTATGATTGCAAGTTGTTGTGAGTCAGTGACTGCTTTAGTGTTAAACTTTGGTGCTGTATTTTTAGGATAGTGTGTTTATAATATCATTTTATGTAGATATCCACATTTATTTATTATTTTTCTTCTGCAGTTTTTATTGAAAATGCAATATTTGATATCTTAAAACCCTGATGTGATAGACAAAAACTGATGCCACATTTGGAATCAGCACCCCAAACTTACCTTAAAACCGTTGGAATACCTTATGCCAGAAAAAGTGTGTTGATCAGTGATAATCGGAGGTGCGGGGGGAATACAACAAAGTCAACACAAAAAGCTCTTCTGAAGAAATTAGTTCTCAATGTTGATGCTTTTAAATGCATTGCTCCAGTGGCATCCCGAATATCGGATAGAAGAGCGTTCCAGACGGCCGCAGAAGCGCATCTCAAGGCGCGCGATGCGCTGATCGTCTTTGCTCGATGGTTAGCCACAAGCCGCTGCTGCTTATACAGAGGTCGCAAACGGGTTTTGATTCCTTACCCGTACCCGGCCGCACCAGGGTCGCAAACGGGTACCCGTACCCGGCCGTACCCGTACCCTACCCGTACCCTACCCGTACCCTACCCGTACCCGGCCGTACCCGTACCCTACCCGTACCCTACCCGTACCCGGCCGTACCCGTACCCTACCCGTACCCGGCCGGGATGAAGCCATGTTGCAGGCGCGGGTGGGTTGATTCTAGGAACTTGAATTGTGAGAAGAGACAAGACGTTGGGAAATGAGTGACAAACGGTGACTCACCAGTGACTCACGGCCTACCCGTACCCGTACCCGGCCGCCCCAGGGTCGCAAACGGGTACCCGTACCCGGCCGTACCCTACCCGTACCCGGCCGGGTATCGGGTACCTGATTGCGACCTCTGGGATGAAGCCACGTTGCAGGTGCGGGTGGGTTGATTCTAGGAACTCGAATTGTGAGAAGAGACAAGACGTTGGGAAATGAGTGACAAACGGTGACTCACCAGTGACTCACGGCCTACCCGTACCCGTACCCGGCCGCACCAGGGTCGCAAACGGTTACCTGTACCCGTACCCGGCCGTGTACGAGTAGCCGGGTATCGGGTAGGGTACGGGTATTGGGTAGGGTACGGGTATCGGGTAGGGTACGGGTATCGGGTAGGGTACGGGTATCGGGTACCCGGTTGCGACCTCTGCTGCGAGGATGACCGGGTGTCGCACGATGCGTTATGCTCCTTGACGAGATGAGTACAACTTACCTCTTCAAGTTCAAGTTCATTTATTAGGTTTTGCCCTGTGAGCCATTCGGCTCTTGAATCGGGTGCAACCGCAACAAAAAAAAACATGAACAAAAAAACATCTTAAAGTGAATATATGACTGAGTGAAAACACCGTACACCAACGCTGTGTGCAAAAATCCCAGTGGGATGCAAGTCAAACAACCAACAACAACCACAAGACAACTTAGATTAAGGCCATCAGTCTTACTCTGTACTACAACAAACATGGCTAAACCAATACACTCAAACCAGGACAGTTACAATAACTCCGTCTCTCCCTGTGTCCCTCTGTCATCCCACGCCTTCCCTGTGTGTGTAGAGCGACCGTCACCATGGCTCGCCTCTCCCCTCTCTTCGTCTCACTCCTCATCGCCATTCTCTCCCTGGGAGTCGCGGACCATCACGGGCGCACAAAGCCGGTGAGTGAAGCATCGTGGGTCTGTGCCGAGCGGTTGTGATCTGACACGACCGATTGAGTCTATGGGTCTTTTTGTGAGTCTGTGGGTCTCTGTGTGAATCGACGAGTCTCTGTGTGAGTCTGTGGGTCTCTGTGTGATGAGTCTATGGGTCTCTGTGCGAGTCTATGGGTGTCTGTGTGAGTCTATGGGTCTCTGTGTGAGTCTGTGGGTCTCTGTGTGAGTCTGTGGGTCTGTGTGAGCCTGTGGGTCTCTGTGTGAGTCTATGGGTCTCTGTGCAAGTCTATGGGTCTCTGTGCGAGTCTATGGATCTCTGTGCGAGTCTATGGGTCTCTGTGCGAGTCTATGGGTCTCTGTGTGAGTCTATGAAGAACAGGTCTGTCGGAAAGACAGCATCTGAATGGCTGTCAGTGAATGACGCTGTCTTTCCGACAGACCTGTTCTTCACCTGAGGACGGCTGCTTGCATTGTGGCCGAAACGTCGTGAGAATTGTATTTTATTATGTTTTATTTTTATTATTTTATTATTTCCCTTCTACGTGACTTTACCGAAAGAACCAAGAAGATGAATCCCTGCAGTCACGAAAGCTTTAAATCGAAAAATATTATTTATTGTTTTATCTTTTTATTATTTTATTATTTCCCTTCTACGTGATGACTTTACCGAAAGAACCAACAATATGAATCCCTGCTGCAGTCACGAAAGCTTTCAATCAAAATCTTAACACAGCTGTTTTGTTGCCAGAAAAAATGGGAAAACGTATCTTCAAGTTGTGTTTTAGTTTTTTACTCTGTTGTATTGTAAATGGCTTGATGTAAATCACGTCTCGCCCCCTTGCGAAAGAGGCAATGCATCATATGTCACAACGAGCCCGGTATTTCAGATCGTGGATAAATCGCAGATCCTATGACTTGCCTCACGATACCACTCCCTTCCCTTCTGCCCCCCCCCCCCCCCCGTGACCTCACAGGCCGCCCCTCCCATCTCGGTGAAGCCGGTAAGAGGTCATGTCTGTTGCAAAGTGGATCCCGTCATAAGAACGTGGAGTTAACTTCACTCAGTTTAACACGTGTGAGGCTTTCGCGACCAATATGATTCATAATCAAGGTTTTTGGGTCAGATCGTGATATTTATAAATGTGTCGTAAACCTCCACCACCCGACACGGCCAAAGAGTAAAAAACGTGTCACGTTTTTTCAAACGACAAAATGATTAACTTCTTTAGCCCACCGGTGTGTTGAAGAGAGAATCAACAGCATTTTAAAATTGGAGTACTACCACCATTGCCATTTTGATAACACTGGTCAACACACTTTTTTGGCATAAGGTAATTCCAACGGTTTAAGGTAATTTTCGGGTGCTGATTCCAAATCTGGCATCAGTTTTTGTCTATCACATCAGGTTTTTGAGATATTAAATATTGCATTTTCAATAAAAACTGCAGAAAAAAATATTGAATAAATGTGGATATCTACATAAAATTATATTATAAACACACTATCCTAAAAATACAGCACCATATTTTAACACTAAAGCAGTCACTGACTCGCAACAACTTGCAATCATAAGTGACAGAGTTAATTTCGGGTAAAATCAATGAAAATGGGGTATGCCGATAGCATAAAAATTAGATGTGATAGAGCAAATCTGAGATCAGATTTGGAATCAGCACCCTGAAATTAGTCTAGAACAGCTGCAAAAGTCCAGGCCAGAAAAACATGTTTTTTTTTTGTTGACCAGTGTAATCAGCATCAACCATCATTAAATCACCACCACCACCATCAATTGTGATGCAGATCTTCACTGCATTCCCAGGTCGACGCTTCGATGTATAGTTGACCGAGATTTTCCCCCTGTAGCCCCCAGGCTATGGAACGCTCTTTCCACAAGATATCAGAGCATCTATAGAGTCCGTGGACATTTAAAAAAAAATGAAACCGATGTTATACGCTTCCACAAGTCAAACGTTTAGTTCGTTGAGTAAATGGATTCTTAAAATGTATTTTGATTATTTTCATGCTTGCTGTGTCATGTGCAGCGCTTTGAGATCATTGTTGAAAATCCGGTATATAAGTCGAATTTATTCATTAGTTAACTCGCGAATTTGGATCTCTGAGGCTGTGAACATTTTAAAAATGCGTCTTAAAACCTATTCGTACGCTTCCGCTAATTAAACTTTAGGTTTATTTCGTAAATTTATTCTGAAGATCTATTTGTAATATCGTTAGTATTCTTTTGCCGAGTGTCTGCTGCCACTACTGTGTCCTGTGCAGCGCTTTGAGATCATTGTTGAAAAGCTACGATATAAATGTAATTATTCTTAAAAAAAGGAAACTGATTGCGAATAAAAAAAATTAAATCTAGGCTCACCAAGATCGTCATAAATGTGTTCGTTTGAACCTTTTAAGTTTTCCCGCTTTCCTTACCTCTGCCTCCAGATGATCTGCTCACATTCCAGGCAGTGTCGGTTATTGCCAACTCTCCCTCATCTCCTTTCCATAACACTTAATGTTATTTCCTGTAAATAGTTAAACATCATAAACGTGCAAAATAGTGATTAACAGAGTCTTAGGTTTTTTCGGTAAAGTCACGTAGGTAAAAAATAAAATAAATAATAGAAATAATAATAGTAGTTAGAAATAAAATAAAATAAAACGAATCACGACGTTTCGATCGCAACACAAGCGATCGTCATCAGGCAAAACTTCAAATCAAGAGGGAACACTTGTTTTTTTTTTATTAACGCGGATGCGAATTGAATATAACGCGATCGAGCGAACGGATCTAGCTCGCGCGAGTAGGAATAAGCGGTTTGTACGGCTGCCTCGGCATAGCATCATCATCATCGTCATCGCACAAGATGGGATGCTGCTGGATTATTCTAGATGCTACCCACGCGCCTTAGTCTTTGCTCAGCCTGCGTACGCATCTCACGAGTTATCGCGGATTGTGCTTCACCACATATTCATTTTCCGATTTAAAGCTTTCGCGACTGCAGGGATTCATCGTCTTGGTTCTTTCGGTAAAGTCACGTAGAAGGGAAATAATAAAATAATACAAATAAAACATAATAAAACATATTCATTATTGTAAAGCAATTTTCCACAGATACGGACTGTATTTGTCAGATGTAATATTGTTTATAATAGAGTTTTTTTTTGGGTTAGATCGCGTAAATATACAAAATGTGTCGTTAAAACCCGCCACCACCCGACACAACCAACTAGTAAGGGTTGTCAGTAAACAGAACGTGGCCAATTCGTCACTAGTACAGCACTAACCGGTGTGTTGGAAAGGCAGCTTAAATCTTCTTGCTGTAGTTTTCACACCTGATGATGATTGTTTGTGTTGCAATCGAAACGTCGTGAGCATTTTAATGATATTTTTTTTTTCTTATTTTATAATTTCCCTTCTACGTGACTTTACCGAGAGAACCAATAATATGAATCCCTGCAGTCACGAAAGCTTTAAATCGAAATTTAAAATGTTGTTGTATTCTAAATGGCTTTATGTAAATCAACGTCGCCCCTTGCGACAGAGGCAATGCATCATTTGTCGTAACGAGCCGGCGTTTGACCTCTTGGATAAATGGGGGATCCTACGACTCGCCTCATGATCCCACTCTTCCCTTCCCCCCCCTCCCTCACAGGGTGCCCCTCCCGTCTCGGCGAAGCCGGTAAGAGGTCACGTCTGCAGCGAACTGCATCATGTCATGAGAATGTGGAGTTCAACTTTCACCACCATCAGCATCGCCATTTTGAGAATCAGATTCACCAACATTAAAAAAAAATCAACACCACCATCAATTTTGAATCCATCAGCACCACACTCATAACCATCATCATCATCATCATCATTTTTTTCAATCATCACCACCATCAAGTTTGAACCCATCATCACCACACTCATAACCTTCACCATCACCACTTCTCCCCGTTCCCCACACACTACGCCTCACAGTCCCCTCTCTCTCACTCTCACCCTCCCAGGCCATCTCTCCGTTCGCGCTGTCTCGCCTCGCGAGTTCCCAGGCGGACCTGGGCTTCCAACTCTTCCACAAACTGGGCGAGGCATCACCGGGCCAGAATATCCTCTTCTCGCCTCTCACCACCTCTGCAGCGCTCATGATGCTACTGGCTGGTGAGAGGAGCTCCCGGCACGCTCAGTCCATCGCTGGATGAATGCCTCCCCCCAGACAGCGACGTCTCTAACATTCCGTTTAGCTCCTGCGCACGATCCGATCTCATCGACTCATCTCCATAACGGATGCAGCTCCTCGTGGTGTCCTTCCTATTTCTGCTGCCACTCTGTGAGGAGTCTCGACCATTGGACATGGTCAATTCTATCCATGACCAGTGCCGGATGATCCGAGTAGCAGAAGTAGCTAAATGCTTTCAAGATATAAATTCCGGTTCAGTGTTTCTGCACTTGCTCTATTACTATAGTACTACACCGCCTTCAACTTTCATGAACGACTGGGGCTTTTAAGGCTAGCGATTTGTCGTAATATCTGGCTGTATAGCAAATGAAAAAAATCCTTTACTATGCAAGTTTAAAATGTATGTGTTGGAAAATTCAAGTGTTTTTGTAATATTTAGGGCCTCTTTATAACATATGCTACAGGCCCGTACTAGCTTCATCCGGCACTGTCCATGACGTGTACTGCCCCAAGCCCACTAATTGCACTGGTCAACAATTTTTATTTTTTTCTGGCCTGGACTTTTGCAGCTGTTCTAGACTAATTTCAGGGTGCTGATTCCAAATCTGATCTCAGATTTGCTCTATCACATCTCATTTTAATGCTATCGGCATACCCCATTTTAATAGGTTTTACCCGAAATTAACTCTGTCACTTATGATTGCAAGTTGTTGCGAGTCAGTGACTGCTTTCGTATTAAAATATGGTGCTGTATTTTTAGGATAGTGTGTTTATAATATAATTTTATGTAGATATCCACATTTATTTAATATTTTTCTTCTGAAGTTTTATTGAAAATGCAATATTTGATATCTCAAAAACCTGATGTGATAGACAAAAACTGATGCCAGATTTGGAATGAGCACCCCAAAATTACCTTCAAACCCTTGGAATAACTTATGCCAGAAAAAGTGTGTTGACCAGTGTTGTTCTTAACAGTGAATATAATCTCTCTAACTTGCGTGCTATTTATAATCTACGAGTTCCAGTTTTCTGTCTCGTAATTCTATCAAAATCACTCCACACTTAGTCACAGCTTGTTTCACTTTTCTTGTCGATGTTCACGTTTCTTACTGTGACGTCGGTTCGTTTCTCACCCTGCATTCTGTTCCGCTTTGCAAAGGAACCGAACTCGCTCTTAGCCACCGATAATCGTTCATCATTTTGATCTTGGTCCACCTGCAAGTTGGACGTAGAGTCGTATACGCAGCATGCGCGTTCTCCAGTTGTATTGCTATGACACATACGTTTGCCCTTCCAGACTGATGAGATTGCAACCAGACTGGACCCTACACATTTTGTTTTTTTAAATAGACATCGCCCAGAGCTCTGGTATGATACAGAGAAAAAAAGACGCTGCGTTGGCCCGTGATGACTTCCACAGGATCGAGAGATGGATTTGTGCACTTCCCCATGAGAACCTGCAGACAACATGTGCACACTCCCACCACAGCACGTGCACACTCCCACCACAGCACGTGTGCACTCCAACCACAGCACGTGTACACTCCCACCACAGCACGTGCACACAGCAGGCAGAACGTGCACACTCCACCACAGCACGTGCACACTCCCACCACAGCACGTGTACACTCCAACCACAGCACGTGTACACTCCCACCACAGCACGTGTACACTCCCACCACAGCACGTGTACACTCCCACCACAGCACGTGTACACTCCCACCACAACACGTGTACACTCCAACCACAGCACGTGTACACTCCCACCACAACACGTGTACACTCCACCACAGCACGTGTACACTCCCACCACAGCACGTGCACACAGCAGGCAGAACGTGCACACTCCACCACAGCACGTGCACACTCCCACCACAGCACGTGCACACTCCCACCACAGCACGTGTACACTCCAACCACAGCACGTGTACACTCCAACCACAGCACGTGCACACTCCCACCACAGCACGTGTACACTCCAACCACAGCACGTGTACACTCCCACCACAGCACGTGTACACTCCCACCACAGCACGTGTACACTCCAACCACAGCACGTGTACACTCCCACCACAGCACGTGTACACTCCCACCACAGCACGTGTACACTCCCACCACAGCACGTGTACACTCCAACCACAGCACGTGTACACTCCCACCACAGCACGTGCACACTCCCACCACAGCACGTGTACACTCCCACCACAGCACGTGTACACTCCCACCACAGCACGTGTACACTCCCACCACAGCACGTGCACACTCCCACCACAGCACGTGTACACTCCCACCACAGCACGTGTACACTCCAACCACAGCACGTGCACACTCCCACCACAGCACGTGCACACTCCCACCACAGCACGTGTACACTCCAACCACAGCACGTGTACACTCCCACCACAGCACGTGTACACTCCCACCACAGCACGTGTACACTCCACCACAGCACGTGTACACTCCCACCACAGCACGTGTACACTCCCACCACAGCACGTGTACACTCCCACCACAGCACGTGTACACTCCCACCACAACACGTGTACACTCCACCACAGCACGTGTACACTCCCACCACAGCACGTGCACACAGCAGGCAGAACGTGCACACTCCACCACAGCACGTGCACACTCCCACCACAGCACGTGTACACTCCAACCACAGCACGTGCACACAGCAGGCAGAACGTGCACACTCCAACCACAGCACGTGCACACTCCCACAACAGCACGTGTACACTCCAACCACAGCACGTGCACACAGCAGGCAGAACGTGCACACTCCCACCACAGCACGTGTACACTCCCACCACAGCACGTGTACACTCCAACCACAGCACGTGTACACTGCAGACAACACGTGCACACTCCAACCACAGCACGTGCACACAGCAGGCAGAACGTGCACACTCCAACCACAGCACGTGCACACAGCAGGCAGAACGTGCACACTCCACCACAGCACGTGTACACTCCCACCACAGCACGTGCACACTCCCACCACAGCACGTGCACACTCCCACCACAGCACGTGTACACTCCAACCACAGCACGTGCACACAGCAGACAACACGTGCACACTGGGACCTCCACGAATGCACAGCGCGCCACGTCTTCACGTCCATACGGCGCACAGCCGTTGCAATGCGGGCACACAAAATGCGTTCTTTTATTTGTGTGTCTCCCTTGTGATGGGACTTTGTAGGATGAACGTTGAGATTTACAGTGAGGGAAAAAAGTATTTGATCCCCTGCTGATTTTGTACGTTTGCCCACTGACAAAGAAATGATCAGTCTATAATTTTAATGGTAGGTTTATTTTAACAGTGAGAGACAGAATAGCAACAAAAAAATCCGGAAAAACGCATGTCAAAAATGTTATACATTGATTTGCATTTTAATGAGGGAAATAAGTATTTGACCCCTCTGCAAAACATGACTTAGTACTTGGTGGCAAACCCCTTGCTGGCAATCACAGAGGTCAGACGTTTCTTGTAGTTGGCCACCAGGTTTGCACACATCTCATTAAAATGCACATCAATTTATAAGGTGATAAGGGGTTGACAGGTACGTGACTGGACCATCCTGAACGAGATCATCTTACACTCCACAAATGAGTAAGTTGCGCGAATTAGGAAATATACTTAATTTCTTTCACAATTTTAAACGGAGGGGGGTCTTATTTAAGTCGTTCATTAGGCATATCGTGCCACGCGCATTCATAATTATTGAGTGAACTTGGAATTTACATTTGTAAATGACAAGAAAAACTCCATCGCAACAGAAAAAAAAATGATACAGGCTGGAAAACCAATATTCACAAATGTCAACTGTTGTTTCCTTTAGGCAAGTGATATCGGGGTTTTCATTCGTATAAAGTTAAGTCATCTCTATATATGGGCTCCCAGTGGAATTCTGTAAGAGTGAATAATGAGACACTGGCCTTTTGCCCGTCCAAGGACGGGTGTATTGCAGTAAATCTGAAACTTGCAAGCGAAAAGCAGACCGCGATGTGATATATTCATTGTATCGATTCGTGTGCAATTTGTACGGCCGCGGTGACACAGACCTATTTCATTTAAAGGTTATAATCCCTTGTTCATCACGACGTCCTTTTTACTTTGATGTCTCAACAGCGTGACGGAGATCGCGTGACGTGAGGGTTCTGCCTTTGTTGTGAGGGTTGTAAGTTAATGCTGAGGAGGGGGGAGGAGGCACCTCGCCCCCCTCCCATGTGGAGTGACGTCACCCGCTCATGATTATTAATGAGGGGGGGAGGGTCCATGTGGAGGATGATAACACTGGTCAACACACTTTTTCTGGCATAAGGAATTCCAACTGGTTCAATGTAATTTTGGGGTGCTGATTCCAAATCTGGCATCAGTTTTTGTCCATCACATCAGGTTTTTGAGATATCAAATATTGCATTTTCAATAAAAACTGCAAAAGAAAAATATTAAATAAATGTGCATATCTAAATAAAATGATATTATAAACACACTATCCTAAAAATACAGCACCATATTTTAACACTAAAGCAGTCACTGACTCGCAACAACTTGCAATCATAAGTGACAGAGTTAATTTCGGGTAAAATCAATGAAAATGGGGTATGCCGATAACATAAAAATGAGATTTGATAGAGCAAATCTGAGATCAGATTTGGAATCAGCACCCTGAAATTAGTCTAAAACAGCTGCAAAAGTTCAGGCCAGATTTTTTTTTCATTGACCAATGTTATTAACGAGGGGGGCTGGTCGACGTGGAGTGACGTCACGCGCAGGACACACGGATATTCATGACTCATTATTGTAGTAAATTGCCCTGATGGGTCCTAGTAAAGATGCATTCTGCCGACAGCTCTGTCTTTATTTCACTGTCTGTTGGGTGGCCACATTTTCTTAACTCCATGAGTCAGGGGTTCTAAAATACAAAAATGGGCACGCATTAAGTTATTTTGAGCTGCTGGTCTGGACATGGCTGAGTGCTTTTTGGACATGCAACATGCATCTTTGTGTGTTGTTAAATGAACTCGTGCTGGTTAATTGTTTTGGCTCACATTTAATTTGAGCCCCACTCTGCAACCATCGTTATTGTGAAACTAATCCCCGAACTCTCTCTTCCCGTCTCGTGCTGCTCACTCTGAGCCTCTTAGGCACGGCCCATCAGACAGAGACTCAGCTCACCAACGCCCTGCGTCTACAATTCCTCCGTGACCCGAATCCCCAGGCCTCTTTCCAAGCTCTGGTTTCCAAACTGCATCATGGCCATGACAGCACCAACATCGCTGCCCGCATCTTCACCGCCAAAGGTTAGTGATGATGTGGGAATCGCTTACAAAGTCCAGGAGGTTCGGGGGCTCAGAGCCACTGAGCCTGCACCGCCGACATCCTGCGTTATAATCTGGGTATTCAGCCTCCTGTGACTAAACTGTGTTCTCGATCGTAGCGAGTTGAAGGTCACAACCTCGTCTCCAATGTCTCGCATAGATATAATACTCACAAATGACGAGAAGGGTGAGTGACTGCCAGAGGTCGCAAACGGGTTTTGATTCATTACCCGTACCCGTACCCGGCCGCACCAAGGTCGCAAATGGGTACCCGTACCCGTACCCGGCCGTACCCGTACCCTACCCATACCCGGCCGGGTACGGGTAGGGTACAGGATGAAGCCATGTTGCAGGCGTGGGTGGGTTGATTCTAGGAACTTGAATTGGGAGAAGAGACAAGACGTTGGGAAATGAGTGACAAATGGTTACTCACCGGTGACTCACGGACTACCCGTACCCGGCCGCACCAGGGTCGCAAACGGGTACCCGTACCCGGCCGGGTACGGGTAGCCGGGTATCGGGTCGGGTACGGATATCGGGTACCAGGTTGCGACCTCTGGTGACTGCTGTAATTAATTTAGAAAAATGTTCTAAAAGGGCTTAGAGAGCTCAGATGTAGCACAAATGTAGTGGAGTCCATCCTTGCAAAGCCAAAAATCTTGGAAACTAAATCTTTAACATTTGTCTCTTTTTTACTTCGGCTATGAATTTTTTCCCCCTGAATCTAACATTCGTCTAAATATGTTTTTCTAAGGGGGTGAAGAGTTAATCCTCTAGAAAGAACCAATAGAAAGCAGAAGCCTGCTTCTGATTACTCTTATATTATTTGGCCATTGTTGAATCCACTGATGTATGAGTCCTCTCAATGCAGTGTTGGCCCCATGGGCGGTTGCTGGATAGTTAACACTTCACCATTCAGGCAAGTTCAGATATCACTCACAACTGATGTTAGCTGTGACAGGGATTCAAACTCAACTCGCAGGGTTCGTAACACAGTGCACTAACCACTGTGCTACAGCTCTCCATGGACATTGTATGTTCATGTAAGACACGTGAACATTTATAATTGCTCAGAGATAATGGCAGTGGCTCATAAATCCAGAACGAGATCCAATTTTGATTTAAAGCTTTCATGACTGCATGGATTCATATTCTTGGTTCTTTCGGCAAAGTCACGTAGAAGGGAAACAATAAAATAATAATAATATGTAACAATAAAATTCTCAAGACGTTTCGACTGCAACACAAGCAATCATCATCAGGTGTGAAAACACAGCAAGAAAATTTGAATAAAGTGGCGGTTTTTCTTAACGTTAGCATCACTGACAGCGCTTTCGGCAGTTGTTCAGATGGACGAGTCCATGACTTTACCAAAAGAACCAAGAATATGAGATGAAATTTCTTCTCGTCCAGAGTTTTAATCAAAGTCCATCTAGAACATGGGCACTCACTTTACAGGTTTGATTTGCCTTGTTGTTTCTCGATCAAAATTTTTCCACCAGATGCCAAAATCAAGCAGCAATTTCTCGACGCGGTGGAGAAGTACCACAAAGCCAAACCGCAGAACTTGATCGGGAACGTGAAGGAAGACGTGGCACTGATAAATAAGTGGGTGGCCGAAAAGACGGAAGGACACATCCCAGACCTCATCAAAGAGCTTCCCGCCGATCTGCAGCTCTTTATTGTGAGCGCCATTTTCTTCAAGGGTAAGGCAGACCGAGGAACAAAAGGAACGCCTTGGCTATCATAAACCACGAGCACAGCCTGAGATGACAAAATGGCCGCCTTGGCTATCATAACCCACGAGCACAGCCTGAGATGGTAAAATGGCCGCCTTGGCTATCATATCCCACGAGTACAGCCTGAGATGACAAAATGGCTGCCTTGGCTATCATAACCCACGAGCACAGCCTGAGATGACAAAATGGCCGCTTTGGCTATCATAACCCACGAGCACAGCCTGAGATGACAAAATGGCCGCCTTGGCTATCATAACCCACGAGTACAGCCTGAGATGATAAAATGGCCGCCTTGGCTATCATAAACCACAAGCACAGCCCGAGATGACAAAATGGCCGCCTTGGCTATCATAAACCACAAGCACAGCCCGAGATGACAAAATGGCCGCCTTTGCTATCATAAACCACAAGCACAGCCTGAGATGACAAAATGGCCGCCTTGGCTATCATAAACCACGAGCACAGCCCGAAATGACAAGACAAACACACACACAGGGGAACACATGCACACATGCAAGACAAAGATCCCCTGTATATCCTTCACAGGTTGTTGGGGAAAGTGTTGTTAGCGAGCACCGATCAAAGCCGGCACAGCACACAAGGGGGTGGGTGGACAGCAGCATGCCCAACAGCCTTTGTTTCTCAAATGTACATTTCCACACATCGCACTAGGTACTCATTTGAAGCTGAGTCGGGAGGCCCAAAACCCATTGAGATAATCGTCACTGGTTTTGGTCGTGAGCGGGAATCAAACTTGGATCGCTAACCATTGCACTATGGCTCCCCACAAACAGACACACGGTGGGATATACACACACACGTGCACGAGGCTGACTCATTAAATGTCGAGGAGGATCGCTCCGCTGAACAAAATAGTTCCGCAGTTCAGTTTGCCTGTGCGAGTTCGCGCTTTGTCACCGTTAAAAATATATATATATTTCTAATGGAAGCTGGTTCGTCAGTGCAGACGATCGTAAGTCGGGTGTTTGTAAGTCGAGGCCTGTCTGTATACATAACTCCACGGATTGACCTGGTCCCCCCCCCTCGACCCCACCCCCCTTTACCACTCTCTTACCTGGACAGGTAAGTGGCTGAATCCTTTCCAGGTTGAGTCTACGAGTCCGAGGCCGTTCCACCTGAGTCCAACCAACGAGACGCAGGTCCCCACCATGTTTGCCAGTGATTACCCCGTGAAGAAGGGGAGACACCCCAGCCTGCCAGTCACGGTCTGAGACACTCGCAAACACACGCACACGCGCACACACGTACATTACGCTTTGAAATGTACAGATTACTTTTCAAGTGGGGGTGCCATTCCATTAACTATCGTTATAATTTGACAGTACTGTACACTTGTTTTAAATGTTTCTTTCTTGCTAAATGTGTTGTGTTTTATATCGTATTTAGAAAAAAGTATGCAACGTGTGACTATCGTTTATTTATATACAACGTGTGTGAGAGGGAGAGAGAGAGATGGCGAATGAAAAAGGACAAGGGAGTGAAATAACCCTCTATACACAAAGATGCCGCAACATAGACTGAGGAAGAGAAAGGCACTCCGTGTATCACAGCTCACACGAGTACAGCAGAACGAGTACTCTAGTACTACAGTAATAGTACTATGGTATTACAGTACCAGCTCCTAGTATCACTAACCAATGCTGCCAACACCCACGTCGTTTGTCACTCACTAGACTCGCAATGTAGTGAGTAGTCAGTTCGTCCCATGCTAGCGAGTACTCAGTCTGTCTCGCGCTATACTCACGCGAAGTGACAAACGTTCCATAGAAAGCAAAACCGCGTTCAAGGGAAAACGCGTCTTGTGAACGCCACGCGTTAAGGGGGGACTTGCCTTCTAGAATTTTCCTGGGATAAGGAAGCGTAATTACTATCATAAAAACTTAGACTAAGTGAGACTTTCTGGCTGAACGAGTGTAGTAAGAATAATGGGAAAAGATTAAGATCACCCGTATAGCCTTTAACAAACTGCTCGGACAAGTGCTGTTAGTTAGCACCTATGAAGGCCGGCATGGCACAGGAGGCAGTTGTTGGTCAACACCACGCTCAGCCATCCTTTGTCTCCCTTGCGGCATTGTTTACACACTGCACCAGATACTCATTTGAAGCTGGGTGGACTTAGGGAATGCCCGGGACCTCTTCAGATACTCGTCAATGGTATTGGCGGCAGTGAGCGGGAATTGAACTTCGATCGGCGGTTTCGTCGCACGGCATAGCGCGAACCGTTACACTACTGCTCCCATAACCCACCACCACTCACGACACAATCACCAACATTTCTCACCCAACCACCAGCATACCATCTACATTCTACAACCTACGCAGCCACCACCACCAACTACAACCCATTACCGCTCCCCACAACGACAACCCACTACCGCTCCCCACAAACGCACGTATACACACACACGCACACGAACAGAAGAGATCTTACTAATAGGGGGTTTCCCCTTTTTTCTGGCAACAAAACGGACACCTTTTGCAAGGAATCATGCTTACATTAACCACTATACTTGCAGTCAAATGCAAACAAAAACAATACTCTGATAATTTATGCATTGTCTTTGAAACTGATTGCCTGTGTAGGGGTGATACGTGCTGGCAGTAGGGATCGTGGGGCAGCGCGTGGTGATTGGTTGTGTAGTGGTGACGCGCGCTGACAGTGATGGATCGTGTGGCAGCGCGTGGTGATTGGTTGTGTGCGCTGACACGAGCTGGGAAAAGGGATAATGTGGCAGCGCGTGGTGATTGGTCAACTAGGGTGGGTGCTCACATCGAGGTCCACATAGGCTCCGTCTCCCCGGGAGCGGAGGACTATAAAAGGCGATGCGCGCGGGCGCTCAGGGAGTTGGTGACCAGTGAAGACGGAAGACGGAGGAGGAAGAGATAGGGCCCTGAGACCCCTAGTCCCGCTATCCTTGAAAGGGCCGGGACCCTGTGTGGCTCAGAGGCGGGACCTTGGGACCCGGGGCCGGACGTCCGTGTGAGGGCCGGGCCACGGGACCCAGTGGTCGTGACCCATACCCAAGCTGGGGTGGGTCTGTAGGTTCCCCTGGAAGCTATGGGGCTGGAGAGCCCGGGTGTGTGTAGCCGGGTGGAACGCGTAGCGTGAGCTGTAGTGACCACACGTGTTATTGTGGAAAAGACAAGTGTTAATAAAGTGTGCTACCCGTCAAGTGGTCTCCCACCGTAATTTACAATATTACACCTGCATAAATGATCAGAGTATTGTTTTTTGTTTGCATTTGACTGCAAGTATTGTGGTTAATGTAAGCATGATTCCTTGCAAAAGGTGTCAATTTTGTTGCCAGAAAAAAGGGGAAAAACCCTATTAGTATATTTGGGTACTGGCAAAGGAGTTCCCATGAAAGAAGAGATATTTTCAACGTCTCACCGGCGAGTCTCATCCCCCCCAAACCCCCAGGTCGCCCAAATCCAGTTCCAGGGCAACACGAGTCTGCTGCTGTTCGTCCCTGACGCGGTGAGCACCAACCTGTCCGCGCTGGAGTCGTCGCTCTCCTCCCAGCTCGTGACCACGCTGGTGGAGGAGACGCTGGTGCAGAAGAAGATCAATTTGCAGCTGCCGCTCATTTCCTTGGACGTCGAGAGCAACCTCAAGCAGACGCTGACGGACATCGGTGAGGTTTTGGGATTGAGATTTTTTCAAACCTGAATCCGGGTGGTTTTCTTTTTTACAGCCTCTGCCAGATCGCAAACCGTCACGCAAAACTCCGATCCATCCTCCCAGCAGCAGCAGCAGCAGCATTTTTTGGCGAACCATTGAACAAAGACCGGTCACTGCATCCGGCGCTTTCAGATGCGCTGCTTCTGCCGCCGTCTGGAACGCTCTTCCTTATGACATTAGGAAGCTACTAGAGCTGTGCACTTTTAAGTCATCTACATTTAAATCTAATTTCTTTAGAACCGCTTTTCGTGTTTGAGAGAGCTTTCTTTTGAGCCTCGTGTCAAACGGTGTTAGACACCGTCTCTGGTGTGGACCAATTAGTTTCAAGGACAACGCATTTATTACACTGGTCAACACAGTTTTTCTGGCATAGGGTATTCCAACGGTTTTAAGGTGATTTTGGGGTGCTGAAATCAAATCTGGCATCAGTTTTTGTCTATCACATCAGTTTTTTGAGATATCAAATATTGCATATTCAATAAAAACTGTAGAATAAAAATATTAAATAAATGTGGATATCTACATAAAATTATATTATAAACACACTATCCTAAAAATACAGCACCATATTTAACACTAAAACAGTCACTGACTCGCAACAACTTGCAATCATAAGTGACAGAGTTAATTTTGGGTAAAATCAATGAAAATGGGGTATGCCAATTGCATAAAATGAGATGTGATAGAGCAAATCTGAGATCAGATTTGGAATCAGCACCCTGAAATTAGTCTAAAACAGCTGCAAAAGTCCAGGCCAGAATTATTATTTTTTGTTGACCAGTGTTATCAGAGTGTATTTTTTGTTTGCATTCTGACCACAAGTATTGTGGTTAATGCAGACATGATTCCTTGTAAAAAGTTTCAGCTTGTTGATTTATTATCTTAACACCTGTTTTGTTGCCAAAAAAGGGGAAAAACCTATTATCAATTGAGGTACTGGCAAAGGAGGTCCCATGATGGACCCTCAATTGTTTTCTTAAAACGTATGCCCCCTTTTCCCGTCTTTACGAATCTGTCTTCACTCAAATGCTCTTGCAAAGAACGCTGTTTGAGCGAAGACACGCCCGTAACGAACTGAATAAAGGGGGGAAGATATGGGATAAGTAGGTGAGGGGAAAACCTTAGACAAAGACTGGAGGTGTAGATGATGATAATGATGAAAAAGAATCCTCAATTCTTCCCTGAAAGCTTCTGACCCCTCTCTGTGTGCCTCCTCCTCCCTCCCACCCATGACCTAGGTCTTGGAGATCTCTTCAATGCTCCGGACCTCAGCAAGATCTCGGACACTCCTATCCGTGTCTCCAAGGTCATCCACCGTGCCACCATGACCCTGAACGAGGAGGGAGTCAAGGCCGCGGCCGCCACGGGGATAATGATCAGTCTCACGTCCGCCCGGCTTCCCGAGGAGCTGAAGGTGGACAGACCGTTCGTCTTCCTCATCAGAGACGACGAGACGGGGGCTCTGCTCTTCGCAGGAAGGGTCACGAACCCCCCTCCCGTGCCCGAGAAGAAGAAGAAACACGGGGATACCTCCTCATCCGAGGAGCATGGCAAGGAGGGAAAGCGAGGGAAGAAGGAGGGAAATAAGCATCATCATTAGAAAGTGAGAAATAATTGCGGTCAGACGGGATAATTTTTCTAGATTTGAAGCTTTCGTGACTGCAAGGATTCATATTCTTAGGTTTTTTCGGTAAAGTCACGTGGGCAAAAAATTAAAATTAAAATTAATAAAAGTAAAATAAAAATAAAATAAAAATCACGACGTTTCGGAGGCAACACAAGCTTCCGTCTTCAGGTGGAACCGTCACAGCAACGATTGCTGCATCAAGTAATTTTTTACCTACGTGACTTTACCGAAAAAAACCTAAGAATATAATTTTTCGTGTGTTTTGGTCTACACGGTTTCCGCTCACTGCCGAGTCACTACGTCCGGTTCGTAATTGAGTCGGTTTTGGATTTGCCTCGTTCTCGCCGGATTAATCAGTCGCCTCCCCACCTCAAACGCAAATCAGACGGTGAACAAACTGCACTCTCCTGATGATTGGAGTGACGGTTCGCGCTATCTACATCACGCCGGCCATGTTTTACCGACCATCGGGCTCGTGCGGGCATGCATCCTCATTTGTATTCGAGTGCGGGAGGACTGGTCAAGGTAGAAAGATGGGACTGTGGTAGTTCGCAAGCATTCGAGAAACCCTGTCGCCGTGGTCGCAAACTGATGTCGAAAATGTCATGTGGTGGTGTCCTTGCATTTGATCCTGACACCAAGATGCGTGTGTCTGCTGATAAGTCCACAGAGGCGCTGTTTCATCGGGAGCAATAAACATGAGCCCTACTTGTTCCCTTGTTTGTGCGTGGAGCAGGAGGGGATCCTGAACGATCCAGGGTGTCATGGTGGCTAATATTGTCAATTACATCGCCTGGTATAGCTTAACCCAGCTTAAATATACGCTGCCAAGCTTGGTGGTGTTCATTCAGACGCTGTCTTTCCGACAGACCTGTTCTTCACCTGAGGACGGCTGCTTGCGTTATGGCTGAAACGTCGTGAGAATTATCTTATTATGTTTAATTTTTATTATTTTATTATTTCCCTTCTAAGTGACTTTACCGAAAGAACCAAGAAGATGGTATACAGGAGGTCGCGGGGTTCGACGCAGACCCTGATGACTGCTCTCTGTTTGGAGTTTGCGTGTTCTCTCTCCCCGTGGTCGCATGGATTTTTCTCGGGGCCTCCGGTTTCCCCTCCAAATTTAGACAAGTGTGTTTTAGAGTTATTTGGCTGATTTACATTTCCACGTGATATGCCACTTCGTTGGGTTATCATTTGTGATTGCCAGGTCACTTCTGAAAAAGGGCTAAATAGCTCAGGGGGCCTTACCCGGTAACATAATAATCGTAATAAATACATTTTCGAAACTTGCTCCATTATTGAAATTTGCTATGTGGGGCATTGGAATCAATAACCAGCAGATTCCCAGGGAAGTCTGGAAACAATTCGACAGGACAGTAAATAAATACACAGCTCACCCTGCCCAACCAGCCTACACACCAGAGGTCGCAAACGGGTTTTGATTCCTTACCTGTACCCGTACCCGGCCGCACCAGGGTCGCAAACGGGTACCCGTTTGCGACCCTGGTGCGGCCGGGTACGGGTAGGCCGTGAGTTACTGGTGAGTCACCGTTTGTCACTCATTTCCCAACGTCTTGTCTCTTCTCACAATTCAAGTTCCTAGAATCAACTCACCCGGACCTGCAACATGGCTTCATCCCAGAGGTCACAATCTGGTACCCGTACCCGTACCCTACCCGATACCGGTACGGGTAGCCGGGTCTTGCGCACAAACACATCCACGTCTACGTCTACTTACACCTCGTGCTCTCTTTTAGCCCGCCCCCCCTCCCAATACGTTCCATTCATTGGCTACCACATTCTGATAAGCTCCCCCCCCCTCTCCTCCCCCTTAACTTGTATTTAAGAACTTGCATCTTGGAATCCCTGCCTCACTTGATACAGCAAATCTGGCTGTGACGGTCCCACCTGATGACGGAGACTTGTGTTGCCTCCGAAACATCGTGATTTTTATTATTTTATTTTATTAATTTTAATTTCATTTTTTATCTACGTGACTTTACCGAAAAAACTAAGAGGATGGACACCTTGTTTGTTGCGTGTGTCTCTAATTTTCATTACCCTCTTTCCCTATCACGGGTGCACCCCACCCTCCATTGTGTGCTGACTTTACACGTAATGGTGCCATGTGACACAAAGAACCATTCTAAATTTTGCGGGCAAACTCTTTGAATGAACGATGACCAATAGGTTCAGTGTACAGGGTGAACACGCGCCCGCTAACGTGAAGACCACTACACTTGCTCTGAATCTCAGGATGGAAAATTGTCGATTCACGCAACCCTTAACTAAAGTATTTTACTTTTTTACCAAGTGCAAGGCCCAACTGTGCTATGCGGCTCTTTTTTATTATTACACGCTTTTATTTAACTCACTCTGTCTGTTGTTGTCGTTGTTGTTGTTGTCGTATCCTCAAATATTGTAACACAATTTGAACCCACTTCCCAATGTGGTATCGACTGCAAACGTGGTATACTTATGTTATACTCATAATCAACATTTTTGGGTTTAGATCGCGTTATTTATAAATGTGTCATAACCCTCCACCACCCGACACGGCCAATCAGTAAAAAAGTGTCACGTTGACAAAAGACAAATAGTTCACTGCTTTAGCTCACCGGTGTGTTGAAGCATGAAACCACAACATTTACAATTTGAGTACGACGTTTCGCTGGTAATTGCATCCAGCATCATCGGGCAATTCGCCAGAATGGTGAGGCTCTGCTCTGTCTCCCGTTCTTATATAGAGCAGCAGCAGCAGGGTGACGTCATCATTAACTCATTAACTCATCAGGTGCAACGATTTGAGGGGGGGGGGGGTTATTGTAATTATATACTAGATTAGTAATCAGGCAGTTGTTACGATGCGAGTTGTAGATTAGTAATCATTTGGAATGTGTTTTATTGTGATTATGCTACGTTAGTAATCAGTTAGTGTTTGTTTCCCCTATAAGGATTTGTAATGCATCTTATTTAATAATACGCTTCCAGGCCGCACTAAGCCTGTAGCTGTCTGAGCGATTAAAGTTATTTCTGTTTCTCTCAATTTCAATGGATTCTCTAATTAGTCTTTGCCAGTAGTAAGTAGTTTTACACAACACTTCAACGTTGTCAAAATCAATTGAGTGTCCCTGTTGGCAAGCATGTTCTGCCACTGCCGACAGTTGTGTTTGCGATAGTTTAATATTTCTCTGGTGTTCTTTTAGTCTTACACTAATGTTACGCCCTGTCTGTCCAACATAGCATCTGCCACATAAACAATTAATCTGATATATACCTTCTGTTGATAATTTAGGTAATTCGTCTTTAGTGCAAGTTACTAGTTGTTAAATTGTGTGTACTGTACCAAATCTGACTGTAATTTTTTGCTTTTGCAAAACACGGGCTAATTTGTCAGTTACTCCTGAGATGGCAGATCACTGTTACAATTCAGTGGGCTCACATGATATTGACTTCTCCAAGACAGAGGTTCTCTGCAAGCCATCTGGCTACCATGAGAGATTCGTTCATGAGGCGATCCACATATACAAACACAGAGACAATTTCAACCGAGAAGATGGATTCTGGCTCAGCAATCATTGGAAGGACGTAATAAACCATTTCGGATCTTAACTGATTGTGTTCACGTTTACGGTGACTTTCAGACCGCAGTCCACTCACTGGCATTGACTATATATCTTGTATTCTCCACAGGGAATGGATTCTTTGCTCCGCTGCAAGCTTCCTACCACCACTCTCCAATTGACATATTTCGTTGCTTCCTCTTAGTACCTTTCACGCGACGGTCAATGGTATAGTGTATAGCATATTGTATAATAATACATAGTATTAAAGTGTAATGTTTAATACAATGTATAAGGTAATATATAGTATTGTAATTTTATAGTGAATATATAGCAGTGTGGTATACAGTTGGTTGGGTAGAATAATACATAGTGTAATATTACAATGTAAAGTCTATAAGCATATTAGTTGCTGCGGCGCCATATTATTAACATTCCTTCCCTTTATTAATTCTAACCTTACTCTCTCCCTTTGATACTGCTAATCCTGCATTATGCATGGGCATAATGATTTTAAACCCCTCGCCAAACCTCCTACGCATTTCACAAGTAGTACTAATCGCATATCTGCATTTTCCATAAATGTGCTAAATTCCTCTTGATATGCAAATTATTTTGTCAAGACGCTCTTCGCCCCTCCATCCCAGCAGCTTAAATAGTCGCTCCAAGCCTGGGGCGTGCCATTCAGACTCTGCCTTCTCGACAGACCTGTTCTCCACCTGAAGACGGCTGCTTGCGTTGTGGCCGAAACGTCGTGAGAATGATTTTATCATGTTTTATATTTATTATTTTATTATTTTCTTTCTACGTGACTTTACCGAAAGAACCAAGAAGATAAATCCCTGCAGTCACGAAAGCTTTAAATCGATATTAAAATTTTACCAGGTATGGCCTCACTGAGCTCTATAGTAGCTCTTTTTTTCAGAAGTGACCTGGCCATCACAGATGATAGCTCAACGACGTGGGCTTATCATCGTCACGTGGAATTTTAAAGCAGCCAAATCCTCTAAAGGCCGTGATGTGTATTCTAAATGTGGAGCAAAAAAACCGCAGGGCCAGAAAAAAATATCCATGCGACCACGTGGAAAGAGAGAGAGAGAGAAGCAAACTCCAAATGTTCAGCAGACGTCGACAGGATCGGGATCGAACTCAGGACTCCCTGTATGCCAGGCAAGGGTAGTTAACATCTCCTAGCCACTGCGTCGTCAGGGTCGAGATCGAACCCACGACCTCCTGTATACCAGGCGAGGGAGTCAGAGCACTGAGATCCTGGGTTCAAAGTACGTTGGTTAAAATCCATAATTCCCTCCCCCCATCTCTATACTCAAAGTAATGTGAATGGGTTCATCCCAGTTGAGTCTCTGAATAGCAGGTCACTTGATGTTGGTGGTGAAAAGTGTAGAAATGGGGAGCGGTGGTGCAGCGGTGAGCGCTACACTGCGCTATGAACCTTGCTACAATCACAGTTTGATTTCCGCGCACGGACACTAACACCAGTGACAATTATCTCTAACCGGTTCTGGGCCTCCTCCCGTAGATATACTCAGCCTCAAATGAGTACCTGGCACGTTGTGTAGTAAACATCACCACTGGGGAGACAAAAGTGGCCAGGCGTGGTTGCTGACCATTCACCCCCTCGTGTGCCACAGTATTGACCTTCATAGGTGCTGCTACTCGTTACTAATGTAGTGGGTTCAACTAAGACGCACTATTCAACTCGGAGGCAGCCTATTTTATTCTTGAACACAACAGGACAACTTAACACAACGACCTAGGCTGGTGACCACCCTGGCTAACTACGTAACAACTGCTAACATGGACCGGGGCTAACATCACACTGTCCGGACCACGTGCTTGAAGACTCAGCTTATATTCTCTCCGGCGTGGCCGGCTCCAGCCATGGCCACGCCTCCCTTCCAGAACCTTCCCGAAGAACCTCGGTTCCATCACGTGACTCTCCTCGGGGGCCCGTCCGTTGCCTTAACTGGTCACGTGTCCACCCGGGTCAACTAGACTGTCATGTTCTAGATTTGAAGCTTTCGTGACTGCAAGGATTCATATTTGTAGGTTTTTTCGGTAAAGTCACGTAGCTAAAAAAATGAAATAAAAATTAATAAAAGTAAAATAAAAATAAAATAAAAATCACAAAGTTTCGGAGGTAATACAAGCCTCCGTCTTCAGGTGGAACCGTCACAGCACGACAGCTGTATCAAGTGAGAGAAATTCCACGAGAACAGTCCTTGTATATATACTGGTTGAGGGTAGGAGGAGCCAAGGTAGGCCCTGGATATTATTTGTGTGAGGTTCGGTGCGGCTGAAGCACGCTGTTAGGAATGAGCCTTTGTTGTGTAGACTGTCATGGCCTTACCCGACCTTCCCTTCGGGTCGGCACACACCCTGCCCGCTAGGGCCGGTACTGTCCTTACAGCCTGGTGACATGCCTTGATGTCATTACCTGCACACCGCGACCCTCTAGGGCCGGTACTGCACCCACAGCATGGTGACATCTATGAAGTCACTACACAACCATCACTTGCCGCAACTGTCTATTGTAGGCTATACGGGGATCTTTGCCTTTGTGTGTGAGTGGGTCCGAGGTGGGGGACGCAGTGGACTCTGCACTGCGCTACGAACCCGGCGAGGCCACAGCTCCACCCCCTACCGCCACCCCACGCACCGCCCACTTTGTTTCTTAAACAGCAAAGCAACGGGAGTTCACCCACAGCCTCACCCAACCCCTGAGCTGTGAGGCACCGTGGCCTGTGTCGTGTAGGCGAGGTTCCCATCCGCTCTGGGCTCTCAGTTTGCTGGCGTCAGGGGGAGTTTGGCATCGCATCGCGCCACCGTTGAGCTGCAAGGCGGAGGCTGT